TTCAAATAGATGAAATGTGTGTGCAGTTGTATGAAGATGGACCAGAGAAAAAAACTTCCAGATTGATGTAATTTTGAAAGGATTTTGACTGATAGTACCATTTTTCCTGCTTTTCTTTTCTGCTTTAGGTGTCCAAATTACACTAAACCAGTTAGAACGTATATGAAAGCATTTAAAACTATGATAACGTCTAAGGCTAAAAATATAAAAAATGTTAGCATTATGGGAAACGTAATAAGATTGTAGATTACACCAATATGATCAGTTATAAGACATTTTAAAAATTGAATAAGAGAGGATTCAAGAAATACTATTTCCCAAAATAAATATCAGGAAATCACCTCTGAATATGTTAAGAAGAAACTACATAGAAATTAAAATTTCCAAGTGCGTTTTATGCTGAAAAGTAGAAAAAACTCTTAAATTTAGTAAGCATCAATCACATGAAAAAAATATCTCAATTCCGAATCTTTCACCTGACATCCCAAACCATAATGTTTCCACGAACAGAACCGCTAGTTAAAATATTTCCATTCTCTAAAGACCATCTCACCGATGAAACCCGCTCCTCTGGCCATCTCAAATTATGTGAAGAATCACCAACTCTGAAAAAAAAGACATCATGACTGAACCAATTTTCAAAACTAGTTAAGTTATGAAATATGTCAAAAATGCAAAATTACTGCGCTGGTCAAATTAAAACCAAAAGTTATGGCTATGCAAAATTACAAAAAAGTTTCAAATAATTATGAAATCATACAGTTTAAGAGAATTGCTTTATGTTTTTAGTATAATTGATCGTTGCAATAACTGAAGTAACACTCTTCATTAACGCAACTGACAATACAAGTTAAATTCACCTGGGGTCGATAAGAATAATGTTCGAGGTCAGATTTGCCACAGCTATAAGTGGATTTCGTATGAAAGCATTACACCAGTGCATTTCTGTTATTTCATTATCGAAGAAATATTCATCTATGACTTCAGCTTTATTAGCGTCCCATAGCTGAAACAAAAGAGTTTTATTGATGTTATTGAAATTTAAAAGAATAAAGGAGCATGAAGTAGCAATCATTTTTATGTAAAAAAATCAGGTATTCAGTGATTAATGAATTTGATAAACTTCCAATAGTTCTTTATTCAAAGTCAATTAAGACCACTATTTGTAGTTCTTTCGCTGATATTCCGTTTCTGCTAATATGACCTGTATAACTGCGTAACAAGCTTATGAGAATATATATATATATATATATATATATGTAGAAATAGACAACCAGCTATGAATCAACTTCAAATTTCGCAATGAACTGAATACAAATTATACTCAACCAGCTATAATTTATTAATTTGAATGAAAAAAAAAAAAAAAAATGAAAACCAGCCTTCACTTTCCCAACTCTATCCGAAGATATAAATGTGCTCGTGTCCTGCGGATACCACTGACAGCACGTTATCAAAGATCCATGCAAACTGGAAAGAGTTCCAAATTAATACCAACTAGAAAATGGAATTAAAAATCAGTGCAAAAAAGAAATGAACAAAAAAGAAAAAAAATCATCAAAATAACTTTTTAAGGCCAATTCCATAAATGAACGAACGGACCATGCTGCGCGGCACGGAATAACCGTATGTTCTACCGGACTCCGACTATCGGTTGGGAACGGCCTTTCCAAATCCACGATTGATATTTCACCACGAGCTGCACCACATAACAAGCTATAAATTCAATTTTTCCATATTTATCACTATAATATCAACAAATTCTCAAACAAACACTTGAATGAAAAATTCATTATATATAGTACAATTTAAATTTCCTCTAAAAATTCAACTAAATTTTGGCTGACCTAAAAAACTGGCCAGCACATAATTTGAGAAATAAACGAAACAACTTAATGCCATAGCTTAAGCAGATAAAGATTAAGCTAAACAATTTTTATATTTAATCTAATAAAGTAGACTTTTGAGTCAAAAAAAAATTCAAAAGCTTACTATCGATTATCAACGGGATCCATATCCATGCTATGCACTCCTGATGCTAACGATGAAGTAAACGGTATTTGTTGTCGCCAGCTGATTCTAAATATCAATTACGTTTGAAGTATGCTCTAAGCTGTGCTCCAGTAACTCAAGGCAACTTATAGACCATAAAAACATTAGGTACACAATTACCTCAAGTATTTCATTCTTTTTTCAATTACGTGTCGTTGAAGGTCGCATCTAAGTAAACCTGGACGAGCACTTTTACCCATTACATTGTGCCATAAGAAATAACGTGGCGAAAGACTTGAACCGGGAATGTTTTCTAAATCACATTAATAGTAAGGCTCAGAATCAGTTCAAATTTAACATTAAACCACCTTTTGTTCACAGAAATGATAGACAATGGTACACTTTTTTTTTGCATTATCAAATCACCAAAGTTATGCAAATTTCAATGTGAACCATTATGTCGTAATGAAATTTTGCCATTTTGCGCAATGACACTATTATGAGTCTTGAGATCAAATGGAGTTGAAAGCATTCGTGACAAGTGTTTCTTCCGACGATGCTGAAATTCCAAATTTTAATCAAATATCTCTTTCAAATGAGAGTTGTCAGGTCTCATTTCGTTCACTGTAGTGACCAAAAATATATCAAAAAAGCAGCCAAAAAATCCAATGAAGCAACCTACAACTAATTCGGCTTAACTTTGCTCATAGAATTCAATTCTTCGATATAGTATAAAGAAATCATACCTTGCTGGAGATCATGTGTGATTCCTTGTGTCCTTTATGAATTGAACTGGTTATGAAAGTTCGTTACCAATTCATTTCTCCTCGATAATGTCAATGTTTAATGCTTAATCCATTTAATACTTACTTTAATAGCAACTAAAAACCCAAGCAGAGAAGAACGAATTACACATGACAACCTGTGCACTTTAATTCCCACTTTCCTGCCCGTCAACTCTGGCAATTTATGAAAATTACTCTTCCCAGCTTTCTTTTCGCGACTGATCGTATTCTCTCTTCCCTACAATCTCGCATATTTCTCTTTGTCTGAAACTTTCCAACCTTATTTTCATATCGTACCGCCGTTTATGTTAGTTTCTTTTCCGGAACATGTTTTCTGGAGGGATTTCCTGTTACGTGCAATGGAATATGGTGATGGGGTGTGTGAGGAACCGTTCAATGTTTCCTCGACACTTTAGAATTTCGATAGTACCATGGATAACAGTAAAATAATGTGAGAGGAAGTTCAGAGATGTACCCTTCACTTCAAATCGTCTGATGATTCTTGACTTAAAGTAAGGTGAGAGAGACATTGATGCCATCTCTCTGTCTTTCAAGATAACTTTCAATTCAACATTATTCACAATCTGATCTTTTCTATTCAGAAATAATCGACTGCTGCATGTAGCTGTAGACAAATAAACTCAGTGCTTAGTATAAACTCTGAATGTATGTTAATTGGTGCTTTCACAGTATACTGCATTTAAAGGTCTTTGGCTATAGAAGTGGACTTTGAATTTAACCTGAGATAGCAGTGATTGAAAAATCGAAGAATCAGTTCTACATGATCATAAATGTAATGATAAGATTAAAATAATCTAGAGAGTATTAAATTACAACGGAAAATATACATAAATATTTCCATTTCCACTAATTGATTAGCTGCTGTTTGTAACTACAAAATGACTAAAAGTGATAAATTAAATTCGGAATTGTGATTTCTTACTTAGAAGTTAGGTATATTCTGTTGCAGAATTATGAAACGGATTCATACAGGTTATAAAATGAGTGGAATGGAATATTCCAATCAGATTGAAAGCTTTATGTAGTGTAAGGGACGAATTCAGCTTTTGAATATTATTTACTTACAAATGTGAAAAGTGCTCTTTTTGCATTATTTATTCTTTTTTCCTGTTTCTTTTTTCTCTTTCTGTTGGAAGGAATTTAATAAATTGTTGAAAGGATTTCTTTCAATTAGCTCAATGACCTACTCAGGGAGAAAATGGAATAACAGAAGCAGTTCTTTATCATTTTCATCATAATAACCGACCCTCATTTTATTTTTGGTTTAAACTTAATTTATGAATCTAAAAATAAAGATGAAGTTCCTAAGATTTCAAAAATGGACTTAAATTCAAAGTAGAAAAAAGCTACCTTTTACAATGCATATTTTACTTTTACTCTTTCCTCCTTTACATCAGACTAGACATAAGCCATATTCCACCATCAAATCAAAAAGACTGAAAAATTTCTGCCAAGGACAGCTTAAAAGTGTTCATTATTGAAGGACAAATTATTGAAAGTAAGACGAAAAGTCATCAATAGGATTAGCATTATAAGGAGATGATTACTTTATAAGCATTTTAAGGCGCTAATTTACACTTTGTGTTTGAGAACACAGTTACCTTATCAGGATCTACTTTTCAATAAAAAAGAAATTACATATTAATTTGTCAAAAAATTGACGTAAGATTTGTTGTCACTCTACAGTGTTATAAATATTTTGCTAATGACTAAAATAACACTCGCCAGTAAAAAATTAAAATTCATCAGTAGAATAAATACGACCACTGGTTCAGTAAAACTCAAATTAATTTATGTACAATACTTCCAAAATTTTCATTCTATAATTTCATATAGCCTAGAGTTTGTGTATTTTAGTTTCGCAGTATTTAAGTGAGAAGCAATTATCATATCAAATATTAAATTTTCTCAAATATAATTGGTTTTTTTTTTTTTTTGTATGCTTCTTTTTTAGCTTGAAGCAAAGAAATGGAAGAAAATCATAGGAGAAAAGACCTATGGCCGACAGTAAATATTCAAATTAAAAATTTACTTTCTTTCGCAGAAAACAAATAAAATAGAGAAAAATGCATTAGGATAATGCGAATTTTCATGAAAATTCGATGGAACAAATTTGACGACAGAATTCTATGAATATGCGATATTAATAGTTGGAATCAGTGATAAGGTTCAACAGGTTCTTCTTGACATTTCTTTTTTTTTTTAAAAGGGTTTGATGAACTGCTGGATGACATAATGCATTTGCGGTGCACGCCATTGCGGTGCCATATGTCCAGCACCACGAACAGTTAGGAATGTTAGACCTTTATACTCTGTCTTGAAGCCAGCTATCTGAGAATCGAACATCCATGGTTCTTTTCTTCGTTTCCTCTGCAAACATTAGCTGATGTTGTGTCAACAAAAGAAGATAAACAAAATGAATGTCGCGAAGCAGTTCTACTATCAGCTTGTCATTCACTAATTTACAGTGATATTTATAACTGAATATTATTACTCATTAATGTAAGATTTAAAAAGAATACCGGCAAATTGAGCGAAGCAGAAAACTGTTGTCCCATGATGAAATTGCATGCCATGTCAGTGTCACCGTAATACAACAACACTCGAACGCCTGCTTTAATTATTTCCTTTACGAAAGGAGCCATATCGCCGTATATTTTCTCATATGTTGTTGAGATCTGTAAAAAGATTTGTTTCTGATGAAAATTAAACCTTAAATGGGTAGCAACTGCTTATAAACATGGTCATTTGAAAACTTATGGATTGCATTATGCCTACCTCGTCACTACACACATCCCACTTAGGCAAATTCTCCGGAATGTGAAGCGCACGGCGCACTTCCGCATTGTTCATATATCGAATCATTGCTGAATCGTTCATGCATGGTGCATCTGCAGAGAAGGAATTGATAGGCTAAAATGAGATTTGATTAGTACAATATTTGCAAAATTTTGTAAAAATGAAAAGGAATTTTGTCATTTAAGAATTATGCGTTGGAACATATTTTAGTTATGAAAAGACACACTTTGTGGTTTTTAAATTTTAAAGTAAATTGCATTTTACAATTAAAAAAATAACAACTAAAATGTATTAGTAAAATCTGCAAAAAAATATGATTTTGTTTGATGCGTTAGAAATAAAATAGTGAAAGAAATAAACTCACTTTTAAATAGGTCAAAACAGATTTCAGTGATTTCTTCTTCTTCGCTGGCTCAGTAAGACCAAATTTCATGACACGTATTCGGGCTTTGTTTAGCTCAGGATTTGAAATACAGTCACGATACAGATCATACGGATTTAGATTACCAGACCATATAAATTGGAAAATTTTTTGGACCTTCAAAAAACACTGTTCGAAATTGGTAAAAAAATTTGTGCAATAATAAAAGAAGCAAACAAAATCACATCTTTTGAAGATCGTTCTGATGGCATTTCAAGATATTATTAATTGGTTCCTACTGGATCAGTTCCTACCTCACTTTACGGTATAGTAAAGTTGTAATGAGTCATTAAACCAATGAAAAATTTTGAAAATACTTCCTAAAAAATGACAAGCACTCCCCTTGCTTATACATTCCTTTTTGGTGACATTTGTCAGTTCACATGTATTAATACAGCCATGACAACACCGGTTTTGGAGCTCATTCCACGTTTTTTCATCAACCAATCCGTGGCTGTAAGCGAACTGTATTGATGTATCTATATTTAGCACCTCACTGACGTATCCATTTCCAAGTGCGATGCCCTAAAATTCTGTATATATAACGAACTATAAATTGTTTTGCAGTTCACATCTGGAAAAGAAACTTTAAATTTAGAGTATTCATTCACGTTGATATTCTTCTTCCAATGATCATTTATCACTCAGTCGACTCAATATTCATTTGTTCTGATAATTCCGCTTCATATTCCAATCACTGCTAAACGTGACCTTTTTTATAAGTAACATAGTGAGTAATGACTTAATCTTAAATAGCAAGCAGTTCACAACTCAGAATATACTATAAATTAATAACGGAAGTCATTAAACTAGAAAAGAAGGAAGAATGTCGAGAAGAAACCTTTAGATTCATCGGGAATTCTGCGAGACCACGAATAACAAGAACAGTTAATGTCGGTACGTAAACGCCACCATAACTTTCTCCCATGATATAGACAGAATTATTACGGAAGTTTGAGAAAGCTTTGAAAAATTCTTTGATTGCCACATAATTCTCCTGCGCTGTCTAAAAAAGCTCACTGAAAGTTAAAGTAAAGTTCGAAATAAAATTTTGAGATATATCCTTTATTTCACTCTTTACTATAAACTATTTCACGACAAAGCAGGCAAGAGAATGATTTGTATATTTTTTGTGCCTTTGTTTTAAATCAAATGAATACTTATTCGAGTATCTGGTTAGCTTATTGAGTCGTCACGTACTCGCATTAGTCATAAGAAGAAAGCAAACAAGTAATGACGTCAGCTGATTTACAAAAATGCCTCTCCAAGAATGCATTTTAATTCCATTAGAACCTCATAACTAATTAGTATTTCGAATTAAGCACAAATAAATAATATAAAGCAAACAAAGAGGGAAATAATAAAATAAAACCTCCCCTCCCTTCACTCTTCCCTAATTAATATAGCAGTAAATAAGAGTTATCTCAAAGAGACCACCGCTGATTATTGATTTATCCCAATTCTCCTGGATTTCTTTCGAATGTAGATTTTCATCAATCAAAAATAGAAAAACAGTACAGTTGATGGTAAATAAAAGCAAAATAATATCGTAATCAATGTGGTAATAAAAGCTTGAAGAGAAAATATGGTCCAAGTAAGTAATATATTGAGCGCTAAATTAAGTGATATATGATGCTGCAGTAATGATCGGTGGAGTTTCAGGGAATTGAATTGCTGACAATTTTAAACATAGACTAAAAAAGTTATTTCCAAATTGCACCTGGTTATCATCGGTTTTAATAATCCCATTGGTAGAATATGAATAACCGACTCCAGCAGGTGATTCTATATAAACTATAGAAGCCATCTAAAATTAATTTAATTAAGATAATGAAAGTTACTGAATCAATTTTTCATTTTTCCAATGCAACTAAAGAAAAAATAGTTTTTGAAAAATCATTTTATAATTGAACCATTCTAACTGGCTCTGGATACCTGATTCCATGCATGAGGATTGTGATGAAGTGTTTTTCCATCGTCACCGATAACATACGGACCCATTTCATTCAACAGACCATCCAACGATGAACAGCCCGGTCCACCATTAAACCAAAATATCAACGGATCTTTCGTTGCATCATTTTGTGATTCCACAAACCTAATATGACATCCTTTTATTAGAGTCCGTTTAATTAAGTACCTGACTAGAACATTTTATTCAAAATTGAACAACGCATTGACATTTCTCAAAGTCATTTTGCTTCAAAGATTTCTAGAATAATTCAGCTCTTATCACGTGAAAAATATCTGGAAAAAAATTAACTGATTAATTTTTTTTTTAATCATATATTTTAAAATTTTCATGATATAAATTCAACAGAACTTACCAGTAATGCAAATGATGGGTATCTGAAACTTGAAAATATCCCGAATAATGTTTAAAGTTTATTTCCATATGCTGTGTTCCCGGAAGCTCTGTTATTTCTTCCGTGTTGACAACGTGAGCTAGAAGTATAAGCACCGCCGCGTGCAACATGATGCCCTACTAAACAATGAGAAGCAATATAGAGTCTGTCGACCCTTCAACACCTGTTGCTGATCAGAAATAAAAGAGCAAATATCGCAAGAAACACAGTTGTTGCTCAATCTAGCTAATAACCCTTAACCTTTGTCCTTCAAATACTGGTCTTATACGCCTTCATACTAACTTTGTTGCTTTCAGTCGTTTTCGGTAATCTATTTGATTCGGTCAAAAATAAAAACAAAATTTTTATTGCTGTGACGGATTCAACTGAATGAATTTTTGCACAAAAATTTAAAAAAAAGGACTGAAACCAATGGAAGGTACTGAAAAAGTATTAATCATTCAATTATCTCTTTAAATTCTAAATAAAGAACATTGGATTAAACGAATGAAAAGAGCGAAATGAATTTATACATCGAATTTTGAAATTTCATTCTCCAAAAAAACTATTACTTGCAGAAAAGAAAGTATTACAGTACTGACACCACTCTTATCATTTTCCCACACACCAAATATTTTCTCTCTTTTGCTAATAGTTTATTTGTACATAATAAATTTGTCTTGTTATCTTCTCGTTAAATTTGAAAAATTAGTGACTTCCTATTAATGATAAATGTTGGAAATGAACTGATAAGCATCAGCTCACTTTGAGAGAATAATTTTGACATATCATTTGCAAGAAGATTGCAATTATTGCTTTTTTTATAACAGATTTCTACATTTCTTTTTAAATGAATCATTTTCAGAGGATGAAAAATGATAACAGATTTGTTTTTCCTTTTCTCCATTTTTCATTCATAATTATTCGGTGGATTTCTTATTTTTATTATCATATAAATGCTAATTGATAAAATGTCTCGTTTTCACCTAAAATTTAGATTGATAAAAACGGAAGTAAATTTCATTTTTTTTTTTTAAAGATAAGAGCGAATTGCAATGCAAATCTTCGCCCTCTTTCAGCACTAGCGAAGCTGAGCAGTTATCGAGTACTGTCTCCATAGTTAGTTCAAACGATATGCATAACGTATTCTTTGATCATAGCTGTTCGGGAATATTTTAAAATCATTATCGATACTCTGAAGTATTTATAATGATCAATCAATAAACAATATTTTCTTATTGATTTTAATGGGAATATTTCTTTGTTGTAAGAGAAGAATTTCTGGTTACTCACAGTTTATTTTCGTTACCTAATTACACTTTAAGAATGTATTGCAGGATAATTTCGTATTTGTAAATGAGAAAAGTAAAAAAATGATTTTTGATTTTCAGAAAAATCAATTTAAGTTACTCAGTTAGAGTTTACATCCAATTTAAACTTCATTGCTCCCTCAGTTTTTAAAAAGAAATATGCGACGAAAAAATTAAAAGGACTGAACTGAGAACAAAAGACTTATTGCATTTTTTTATTACAATGCTCAATTTTATTTGCTATCCGGTAATTAATGTAAAAAGAAAATTAAATTAAAATCTAATTGGATAGAAAGGTAAAACTTTTTCTATAAGCAGTGATTTTTCTCATTTTATTAATCTTTCTGCGTTTTTGATAAATTTGTTAAAAATTTGTCTTTGACAAAATCTTTTCTTTGTTTTTGTTTGTTTTTTTCTTTGTTTCAGAGAATTCGTTTTTGCCAAATTTTTGAATTTTATGAAATTTTGTAAACTTAAATATTCTCTCAATTTATATTCATAATGTGATCACATAGAAATGCTTTGTATAGAAGATAAAATTAAACTGGAAAAAATTTTGAAGTTTTCTCAAGTTTAAATCCATGAAAATTCTATCTTGATAAATTTTTGGCAAGAATGAAGAATTGAAAGGACTGGTAATTCAAACATTAATCTTATGAAATTTCTATATCCTACCTTTAAAATTTAATGTAGTTAAAGTTTTTTAGAACAAACCATAGATATTCCATCCTTTGAATGCTACACTCTCAATGGTTTGTTAAATGAAATCATTCGCTTATCACTGAAATCACTTTTTCTGGTCTTAACTGAATACTTCACAAATTGATTGGTTTGGAAATTTCAACATGGCTAAAATAGTTTTTATGCTTATTCCACTACGAATGGTAATCTAAAATGCACCACTATCAACCAAAGTAATCATTAAATCAGTGATTATTATCACCAAATGAGATTACGTCAGGTCACACCTGAAAAAGTGAATTTTTAGCAAAGTTTCAGCAAAAGTTATTACTTTGATTTCAAAGTTTTTTTCTTTCTTTAATAGCAGTGCTGCATAAAAATTGCATTCATATTTCAGATTATCGAATGCGATCAGAGAAAGTGTGGTGGAAGGGAAAGGAGAAGGAGAAAGAATACGAAATAATATTATAAATCTCTCAGAGGAGATAGGAGAAGCACTGCGACTGTCATTTCATTCCCTCAATACTTTATTTATCTTTTCCAGTCATCTTTCTTCTCTCATTAAATTTAAGTTTCAAATTTTTCTAATAAATATCTTGTCTTCTATTTTGGAATCGGTTTTGCTTAAAATGGCGCTAAGCATTACAACTTCATTGCAATATTTTGCACTTTAAGACAACCTTCTGAAGTTTACTATAGTTTTTAGCATTGTTTTTAAATTTTAATTTTTATGGAAAACTTAGAAAAATAAAATTTGATTTTAGTTTTAATAAAGCACACATCCCTAATTAATTATTTTTGAAATCAGCCATTGTATGCTTGAAAATAGTGGTTCGAATTTGATGATAACTAGTTATCTTTTTGAAAAAGGATTTAATTGTTTTTGTTTTTGTTTGCTTTTTTCGGATTTTGCTGCAAAAAGAAAAAAAAAAAAAAAAACTAGAAAATCTATTCTTTTGTGAATGTTCCTTTGCTAGCATTTGTATTGTTACTATTAATCAACGAAATGGTCAGATCCGTTTCTTCAAAAAATCGTTAAAGCGAAAATTTTCATTCTAAAATTTCTGTGCTGTTTTCAACATATTTTCATATAAATCAGTCATTCTTTCCTTTTTTCGTTTTTCTCTATTCGCAATTCGACAATATGAGCCATTGCTGAGCTACGAATTCATTTCTTCTTGTGCTATGCAATTTCTCCTTCAAATATTTCAACATTTTCAGCAAATATTCTAATATAAAATAAAAATCTTTACCAAATGGATGGATTCTGTTGCATACAAAAAAGGAAAATATTAAATTTGCTTTTTTTTTTAAAAACATTTCTCAATGAAAATATTTTTTTCTCTTCCTGAAAGTATATTTCTCTCTTATACTTATACTATGCATTCAGAGATGATAACAATATGTGCAATGTACTCACAGACAAGCAAAAGCATAATAACTGAAAATAAGCAAATTTGCCGCCGATACCGCCGGAAGGCATTTTAAGTGCATCAGGATCCCACCCACACGTAAATAGAAATGCATAAACATAAATTTTTGCATGCATTGCTTGCGATATCTATCTATGCTACCTGCTGAAGCAGAATGATGAACGGAATAACTTCAAATACGTCATGCTGAAAATCAGGCTTTTGTCCTGCAATGACAATTTATAAAAATAGTAGTGGGAATTTCAAGTTTTTTTTTTTTTCTTTCACACAAAAATAAGATTGGTTTTATAGTGTTTTCATTCCTTTTTCTTTAACTCATCTTTTAAATTTCAGAAAAACCTGGGATAAAATTCAAGAAACTTCTTGATAATAGTTTAGTAATAGGAACAGCTAAGTATTAATTTTTAATTTTAAAAATTTCTCTGTCAGCTTTTCTTTCTCAAATATTTCCATTCATCTGATATATAATGTACGAACAGGGTTGCAATAACAATTATCGTTGTTTCGTCTCATATATTATTTTTTATCTTTATGTGCGATGCCAATTTCTCTGCTAGCCCTGTGGCCATTGACCTTTAAACTCAATCAATGTTCGTATCAGGTATGCCTAAATGTCCTCGTATATATATATATATATATAACCCAAAAGTCATCAAACTGAAATTTGCTCTAAGCTAGAACTTTATATATCAAATCCTTGGATTTCAAAACATTTAAATTAAACTAAACTAGTAAAATAATTCAAAAACTTGGGAAATGAAAATCGAAATTGTAAAACAATGATAAAAAGCGGTTCCTTAACTTCCATTGCAATCAATGATAAGGACCAGATGAACTGAACATCAAAAATTTGAATCGAAAACATTTGCCGAAATTTCTAATAACTGGGATAAAGTAAGAAATACAAATCTGAATCGAAGAGGAATGCAAATGACATGTCGTTCCTTTGCGCCTCATTGGGATGCTGTTGCATCTCATTGCGCTCCGCTCTATTCATGTGAGTGCTATTGTGCTCCATTGCGCTCCATTAACACGCTGCTTAATTAACAATGTTGAAAGTATGAACTTCGATTTACATAAGAAATTGTTGCTATATTTGATAAAGATTTTCCCATTGCTCTGACAGCTCAATTTCATTCTTATGTATGAGTTTTAAATTGCATAAAATTCTCTATAAATGCCTCAGATTCCTTTGTCAAGAATTTTGCGCAAATATTTAGCTTGCACAATCTGCGCCAGGTAGCCACTTATTTTCATCATTTTTATTTATGCGTTTTTTCCAATCTAATCGTTGATAGAGTCTTGATTAGAATAGTGAATAAGGTAATTGGGCACTGAATTCGATTGGATTCTAATTTGTTTTAATTTGAAATACAAATTGAATTTGCTCCTTTGTGACGCTAATTGCAATTGCAATTAAATAAACTGTAATTTTCTATACTTTAATTGCATAAAAGAAAAAGGAAAAAAAAAAAGCAAAAAGTGGAATAATTGTAAGTTCTATAATTAATATCTAAATTGATTTACAGTGTTATTTATATCGCTTAATTTGAATCTTTCATACTAACTCAACGCATTGTTGGCCTTTAATTTTACTCAATAAAATTTGTGAAGAACTCCATTCAGCATCTACTACCTTTTTAAAATTGCACTTCTTGATTTAAAATTTTTTACAACGTATTTTACCTCTGTACTTTATTTCTCAAC